GGAAATGCGCCATTATGGCGCATTTCCATTGCGCCAGAGCACCTTTCCTCTCATCAAGACATAACGCTCATTTAAATATGGAGCAAGACATGACTCATTATTTCTCCAGTATGAGACAAATAAAGAGCTTTTTGAACATTAAAGCATGGAGACATGTCCCAGTAGAGACACTACATACTGATATACACCTGAACATCAGCAGGAGAGGACTCTTTAAAGTAGAGACACTACATACTGATATACACCTGAACATCAGCAGGAGAGGACTCTTTAAAGTAGAGACACTACATACTGATATACACCTGAACATCATCAGGAGAGGACTCTTTAAAGTAGAGACACTACATACACATATGAACCTGGAAATGATGTCTTCATGCATGTAGGCTTGGGAAGGTACCTCACCAGGGAGAGAACACTATACGGCCTTTCATCGCTCTGTGAAACCTGAATGGGGAGCTTCAAATGTGTATAGAGGATCTTAATTACATCAAATGGAGGAAATATGAGATGTCAACGCTTTCCTGGCAGGGTGGAGAGACGGGGAGATGGAGGAAGAGAGAAAGTGGTGACAGGTGGAAAACTGAAAACATCCAGACTGATGGGATGCAACCTGGAGTCGTCTGTGCAAACCCACAAGGGTTATCCCACCGTTATATCAGGCTGCGGAGTCACGGATTACATCAAGGGGAAATCAGGATACTTTAAGTTAGTGAACTACTTGAAGTTGGAGTTTATATTTTCTTTCCATCAGTTTGTGCCCCCCCCACACACACACACACACACACACACACACACACACACACACACACACACACACACACACACACACACACACACACACACACACACACACACACACACACACACACACACACACACACACATCGACCTGGGCTGCCACACAGCAGCCACGGTGCTGCAACTGAGGCTACACTTCAAGGTCGATGAGGGAGGGGGGTACATGTTGTCAGATTGAGGAAAACATTCACCAGGAGAGTTTTCTTGTACTAATAGAATGAATTCTGGGGGTTGGAGCTTAGAATTTCCCACTTTCAATTTTAAGGACCACCCTACGTGAGGCTAAACTTCAAGGTCGATGAGGGAGGGGTAAATGTTGTTGGAATTTGAATAAAATTCACCAGGAGAGTTTTCTAGACTATCATAACGAATTCCGGTGGTTGGAGCTTAAATTTTAAGGACCACCCTAATATATATATATATATATATTATCGTATCTTGATCTAAACCCCGCCTTTGCTTAGAGGCAATAAAACATGTTTTACCATTTAAAAAAACTAAACTAAATATTCTGCACCTTTCCACGTCGATGCACACTGTGTATTTAATTTTTTTGGCCGAATCAATGCTCACACAATGTTTGCAGAGATTACAACAATTTAAAAATCTGGTTAAATGATTGATGAGTGATGTTCTGTGCAGATCTGTAGTGTTCGTGCACTGATGCATAGATCATACCGAGACCTCTCAAAGGTCAACATTCAGCTTAGCTCTCTTTTAAAATATAAATGATGCATGAAAACAAAATGTGATCCAGCTTCTGAATATTGAAGTATGCTGTATATTTGCATTGTTTTTAGTTTTTGCATACATTTTATATTTGCAAGCTCTTAAAACTTTTAATCCAGAAAACATGGCAGCACAACCTTATAATGTATGTATGTGTACTTGTATTACATTTTTCATTCATATTTTTAGCTGATTCATGTGTCTGTGAATCTGTACTGTGATGTTCTGCTTGTATCTGTCTTTGTACATTGGGTTATAATTATTATTCCCATGTTTGGCAATTTATTTTAGCATTTTTTGCATTTAAAAAGTTTGTGGCTTAGTTAGTGCTTTACAAACTAATATGCAAGGCATTGGGATATAGAGCAACGGAAATGCATTATAAAAACACATTGAAATACTTTAAAAAACAGTCATGAAAAGGGTTAGAGAGAGAGAATAGAAATACAACAAGCTAAAATAGAATAACACAGATTTAAAATACCAGAATAAAAGGAGTGAGAGATGCAGCAAACCTGCAGCTTTCTGTGAACCTGTTCCAGATATATGGAGCAAAGGTACTTTTACTTCCATCTCTGCATTTCTTTTTACTCTTCATCGTCTGCATTTCTGCTTTTCACCAGCAGAGGATGACAGCAGCTTATCTGCACGCACTGGATCTCACTCTGTATTAAACACAAGCTGTAGAGAAAGCCTCAGTGAGACAATCGGCTATTAGTCTTTCTTTAATGCTGTGTGGACATGATTCACGTTATCAAAACCAAATGAAACTGTATTTATTGGATCTCTGCTGTCATCTGGGGTTTATTTATCTCAGCACTTAATTTCCACCCTTCAGGAATCTTTGGGATGTGTCAGAGGAATAACACATGAAGCCCACAGAGGAGGAAATACTCGTTCTTCTTCTACTCCTCAGCCACAGATTTATTTGTAACAGGTCATATTATTCATCTGAAAGACACTGAAAGAAATCCACTTGCAGATGTTTCCTCACATTCAACATTTGGACATTTGTGTTATTTATTTATATTTTCCCAAGACAATCATTTTTGCCTCTCTCTCTCCATCTCTATTCTCATACTGCCTGTGCTGCAGCACCTCTTTTCACCCTCTGTCTGAAACCAGAGCCCAGTCTGTTCTGATTGGTTAGTTAGCCGGCTCTGTTGTGATTGGTCAACCTCTCAGGGATGTCCCGCCCCTTAGCCTATCACGTACAATGTGTTGGAGCGCTAGCCAATAAGAGCGGGAGTGTTACGTAGTGATGTCACTATGTTCCGGAAGTAAACAAAGGAGTCCAATGGAGGTGTTTTGTAGACCATTGACATGCGCAAAACCCTATATAATAACACACTACAGGAAAGGGAAAACCCCAAAAAGCAAAATAGGGCCTCTTTAAAGGGAACATTGCATACCCTTTGCTACGGAAATTAGTTCCATTCTAGTTCGATTCTGGCTAGTTTGGTTCGCAATCGGTTCAGTTTTTAAGTTTTAATTGACAATGTTTGGCAAGATAGCGCCAGTATTACAAGGATGAGGTTACTGTAGCACAGCCACTGCAACTTATACCGCTGAAGCAGTGTGATGCTTTTTACAACGGTATGAACGTGAACAGTCATTAAAAGTATGTTGAGTCAAAGATAGTAAGTCTTGTTAATGTAACGTGATATGTATGTTGGTTGGTGGTTGCATTCTAGTCATTAGGTGTTGTCGGCTCTTTTGTTTCTGTAAAAACGTTCTTCTCTTCGCCATACTCGCCATGAGCTGTTATTGTTAATCTGCCCAGGCTTCCAACGTAACCCTCTTACATGTATGTGGTTCCTGGTTTCAGCTCAGCAGTGTTCTTATGCAAATGTAGACTTTTTAATGTTGTTTTGTGTAGTTTGAAGAAGAATGTGTAGGAAGAATATCCTGTATAAGGTTTTGGCTGCACATACTTCTTATAGCAAAACACATTTATTGTTGGTCCTTTCATGGGATCTGTTGACAAAAAGCTACAGGTAGGGATAAATCCACATCAGCCTTATCAACGCAGTATCCTCTTTGTGAGTACAGAAACTGCAGACGTCATATTACACAAGATGTATCATAGATTGTACAAAAAAAGGGAAGAAAGTCAATTTGACCTTCAAATGTGGCGTCGCCATCGCGTCTTCTTTTTTGGACTCAGAAGTGACACAGTGCGAAGCTAAGTACTGTACAACCAAACGCTAAAGGAGGCTGTTTTAGGAGAACAAATGTTATAATTAACCTTGATAAAGTAAAAACACAAACTGTGAGAGGTTTTAAAGTTGTAAAACGAAAACAAGGACAACACCGTGCTTTCAATCAGGAGTAGCCCCGCCTTAAAGGGGACCTATCATGCAAAATGCACTTTTGTACGTCTTTTATACATGAATATGTGTCCCCGGTGTTCCAGGGAACTCACCAAGTGTCAGAAAACACAACCCTCTCTATTTTCCTCCATACCCAAATCTCTAAAAAAGGGGCTGCAACGGATCTGATAAAAACTGATCCAGATTTGAACACTGTCCTGACGTCAGGACAGTGGCGCTACGGCTATTGGGCCAACTCCACCAATCAGGAGGAGACAGCCACGGCCATTGCCGTTCAAAAGCGCTGGAGACGCTGTAGTACATATGCCAGGCCAGTAGATGGTGCTGTTCTCACAGAATCAGCCCTTACAAACACAGAGCTAGAAATTGTCAAATTGAGCGAAATGAGGCATGGCTAAAATGCATGATCTGTTTGGTATTTTGAAAAAAAAAAAGTATAAATATGCCTTATATAGGTATGGTCCTACACTATATTATTATAATATAGTATGATGGGTCCACTTTAAAGGATTCACTGCTTTATCATCTATTTTACTCTAAATTGGACCATCATTTACTGAATGAATTTAATCAAGTGTTCTTCAAGCAGCATGTGTTGTCAAGTTGGTGAAGATGTTTCTTCATTTGCATGTGATTTGGCAAATTAGTGTTTTTATATTTGCATAGTTTCTGAAGTTCTGATGTTAGTGTTTTGGGCCGTAGTAAGGCGTTTGCACCTGTTGGTCAAATACTGATAGCTATATGATTTAATTTTATATTAATATATTTATGTTTCTCTAAAGTTATTGTAAGACCTTTTCTTCTATTATAATAGGCAAAGCTATATGATAAAAATGAAATGATCCAGTCCAGTCCACTCCAGTCACAAGGAAACAATTTTGCGCACGTCACAAATAAGTGAATGAAGTGGAGCAAAGTATACGTTCTGACTGCAGGTTTGTGCAAAGTAGTGCAAAGTAGTCCCTGAGAAAGTGGTGTGACGCACACTTCCGCGAGAGGACTTTGTGATGAATCGATGCATGCGGAGCGCGCGCACCTGCTGGAGAGCAGCAGCAGTGTCCGCGAGGTGAGGACTCAACGCGCTCGTGAGCAGGGATTTAATGTACAATGAGTGAAATGTGTGTCGGATTACGAACTATGAGGAGCTTTTGTCTCTTGCTCCTGATGTCTGTCCTCCACACCTGGTAAGTGGCGTGCAAGGGATGTCGGATAAATCACATTTCGTGCAGAAAACTTTGTCTCTAAGTTCAATTGAAGGACTCTTGAGTGGGATTTTGTTTTGTGTGCATGCAGTCTGCAGAAATGTGTCTCTTTGCCCCCACAGCTCGCTCACAGTGCAGCATGAGGAGGACTATGAGGATGTCACTGTGAACCAGATGCTGGCTCCCAAATCTCAGGAGAGCGACGCCACGGAAATACTCAACAACCTGCTGAAGGAATATGATAAGAAACTAAGACCGGATATCGGAGGTAAAAGCCTTTTTTTGTTTTAGTTGCAGGCTGTAAATCCACCACATGCATGCAGCTGTTTAATAAATGCTATGTCTAAGGTTTGGATGCTTACAATTACTTGTTACCTGTAAACACATGTAATCATTAACCTAATCTGAGTATCACAATATACAATCATGAGTCAACAACAAGAGACAAACTGTTCTGTTGCCTAATTTTGGAAGAATTTGACCTTTACATTAAAAGTAAGAAGACTAGTTGGACTAGTAATCAGTCACAATTAATAGATACCTGTCAAAAAATGTAATTAACCTAATCTGAGTATCATAATATAAAAGTAATGCAACCTGATTGCTTTCCGCTGCTCATGGATTATCTCAATATCAAACGCAATGCAATTAAACACAAGAGAAAATAAATATCAATAAGATGTGTTTTACTGAAGTTTATTACAAGATGTGACCTTTGAAAAGAAGAAACCAAGATATGTAGGATCAAAAATGACTTTACTGATAGGAAAACCTGCTTTTCATTCATCTCATTCAGGCAGTAGCCTAAACACCAACAATGAAACATATGAGCACATTATACTACAGTACAGTTTAAAAAAGCAGAAATAAAATCTGAGCTGACAGAAAATGCTCAGTTTTAGTTTAGTACACACAGTTAAGCTCAGACACACTATTTTATGAACATATAGGTTCACCTACTGACTTAAAAACAGAACAAATGGACCAAAGAAAACCATAAAGCAGATTCAGGCATATAGATTCACACTTGAAGTATTATCCTATAGAACAGTTTACAGAGAAGAAATAACATCTGATCCTTTTACAACGAACACTATAATGCTCTTTTAAGGTGTTACTAACACTGTAATCCTGATAGTTATACCCAATTTTAGAAATGCAACAATAACCTGATAACACCTTTTTTTGTTATGTAACTGTAAGAGAATACCTTTTTTGTACCCTGATAATGTATCGTTACATGTAATCCATTACTCCCCAAGTCTTGCTATACCTACATATTGACTGCAAATAACACCTGACCTGTATACACCTGCAGCAGGTGTCAGAATCTGATCAGTGCGCAGATATGCGTCTGATAAAACTGTAGAGATTCAAGTAAAAAAAATATCTAGAGCTGCAACCATGGACTATTTCAACATGCAGAAATATCTTTAATTAATGTTTTCATCCCCTCAAACGTTCAGATTTTCCTGCTTTTCTCTCTTTTATATCGTATTAAAGTCAATAGAAAATTGATTAATAATCAGCTACTATTCTACAAGTAATCTTTTATGAAAAATGCTGTTTTCCGCTTCCAAATGTGGATAATATTTCTGCCTTTCTCTTATATCAAAGTGAATATTTTTGGACTTCTAAAGACATCGTTCATAGTTTTCTCTGACCTTGTACACCCCAAAGGTGTTCATTGCAGCCCTAATTCACTCTTACAAAAAAATGTGGTTGCTGAAAAATATCTCAAACTATTTTAGTTGATGAGTAATTATAGTTTATACAAACATTTTGAGATTTCCTTTTTTTTTTCTCTATTTCTTTATATCATATAAAAGTGAAGATATTATCTCAGATGTTAATAAATGCTAGATAATGACTGCAATTCAAGTCAAACAAATAACCAGAGCTGCAAACATTGGTCAACAGAATACATCATCTGCAACTATTCTGAGATTTGATGGAAAGTCGTTTAAATAATTTTAAATGCAGAGATGTCCAAAAGTAAATCATTTTAAAAGGGCTGCGAGTCTTTGTCACATTAAATCAGGGGTTGTTTGTTTCAAACAAGGTGGAATTCACTCCGTTTTCAGCTTTTTAGTTTATATTGACCTCCAGCAACAAAGGTCAAGACGCAACTCATCTGCATATCCTCATGAATATAAATCACATTTAGAGGACGAAACTTTAGTGCAGGACAGAGAGATGAGGAGTTTTATAATTTAGAGACTCAGATTAAGTTTTAGAGGAGGCTACTGTACCAATCTGATCAATGTCAGGATCCAGAGTGAGTGTGATGGTAACTTCCTCTCCAATAGTTTGTGAGTTGTATGAGTAGAGAAGTGGTTCCAAGCCATGGATGTATTAAGAGAACCCTATATGCCTCATAACCTTATTTTCCAACGTTTAAGTATCTCAGTGAATTGAGTGGACAACAGTTTTGAAATTGGAAATACTGGGAATTTAACCTATCGAGCATTTCAACTCAAGGAGAAATAAGCGTTCTGAAAGGACATTGGTGCGAATTTCAACGAGTCAGAGAGATGAGAGTTGTGTTGTTAGATTTAGTTTGTTTGGATTACAGCAAGTCTAGCTTTCTATTATCTAAGACTTTATATGATGAATGCTGAATATTTAGTCAATTAACAGTTGTTATCCTAACCATAACCCTAGTTTTAAAGATAGAATCTCATGTCTACCTTCTCATTCCCAATGTTAGTCAATGTGAAATGGCTTGTTCCAGGCCCCAAGGACGTGTGCCGGGCGTTGAAGCAAATTGTCCTAGTGGCCAAACGGTGGTATTACATCTTCTGTGTCAGTCTCTGACATCATTGGGCCTAATTGACTTACATTGGGAAAGACATGTCTGTTAGTATTATTAATAATGTTAGATGAATAACGTGCAATTACGTAACTACCACTACGGTTTTTGCACTACTAAATACTGTTAATATTTACATTAATTATGTGACCATCTATGGTTTTTCTGTAGTTATTGAATTGCTCTTTTTACTGCACTGTTAGTGTACAGTTTTATTATTATTGTGCTGCTGTGTTTATTGTATTTTTTTAACTCTGGCACAAAAATGTCCTTCGGGATGAGTAAAGTCTTATCTTATCTTATCTTATCTTATCTTATCTTAAATCTAGTGACTGGCTGTGTGGTAGTGTGGTCGTCTTTCAATCAGAAGGTTGTGGGTTTGATCCGAGTCCCTGCAGTCAACATATTGATGTATGCTTGGGCAAGATACTTTACTACTTCACTACAAGATACTTTAATACTAAACCCCAAGTTTCTCCCAATGGCATGCAATGTAATGTGTGTAAATGTTAGTTTCCTTGGCCTGCCTCTATGAATGTGTGTGAATGAGTGAATGATGACGTATGTAATAATAATAATACATTTAATTTCAAAGCGCTTTTTCAGGTGCTCAAAGACGCTTTACAGTGGTGATAAAACGAGATAAAATAGAATCAAAAATATTAAAACAGTAACACAACATAATTCACAAATTAAAAGCCAATCTGAAGAGGTGTGTTTTGGTCAGTGTTTTGAAAGTGGGGGGGTCGGTGCAGTCTCTGATGTGTTGTAGAAGGGAGTTCCAGAGAGTGGGGGCGGCGATGGAGAAGGCTCATTCCCCCCAGAGGGTGGGGGCAGCGATGGAGAAGGCTCTGTACCCCCAGAGGGTGGGGGCAGCGATGGAGAAGGCTCATTCCCCCCAGAGGGTGGGGGCAGCGATGGAGAAGGCTCTGTCCCCCCAGAGGGTGGGGGCAGCGATGGAGAAGGCTCTGTCCCCCCAGAGGGTGGGGGCAGCGATGGAGAAGGCTCTGTCCCCCCAGAGGGTGGGGGCAGCGATGGAGAAGGCTCATTCCCCCCAGAGGGTGGGGGCAGCGATGGAGAAGACTCTGTACCCCCAGAGGGTGGGGGCAGCGATAGAGAAGGCTCTTTTCCCCCCAGGTTCAGAGCTTGGTTCGTGTGGGGATAGAGAGGAGGTTCGCTTCTGATGAACGAAGGCTGCGGGAAGGGGTGTAGTGGTGGATCAGGTCGGTGAGGTAGGGGAGGGGGCCTGGTTATTGAGAACTTTGTGTGTTAGCAGAAGGATTTTGAAGTGTATTCGTTGACGGACGGGGAGCCAGTGCAGGTTTTGAAGGACGGGGGTGATGTGGTCTCTGGAGCGGGTGTGGGTGAGGAGGCGGTCGGCGCAGTTCTGGATATATTGTAGTTTATTTAGAATTTTGGATGATGAACCATACAGGATGCTGTTGCAGTAGTCCAAATGTAAAGTGATTTAAGTGCTATGTAACTGCAGTCCTAGGAAAAACTGTCTGACTCTTTTCAACAGCGTGTTGTATAAGTGTTAAAAGGATGTCTCAAATGATTACGTTACCTCTATCTTTTGAATTTGTTGTCGTGATTTGTCAAGCCTGAAATTCACCAATGACAGGTTTGACCAGCTGTCAAACTTAAATGTTAACTGAGTCATCAGTATTTTTGCCTTTTTATGTTAACATCACAAATGCTTCTTGAGTTTTTGTTGAGAAGTTAGTAATTAAAGGGAGTAGGGCTGCACAATTTGCCAGAAAATAACCTGTTGCCATTATTTTAGAGTGATTTTGCAATTGCAATATTAGAGGTAATCATAATCTTTGAGATTTTCGAGATTTCATAATGCATATTTCTCCTTGAAATGAAGTGCTGGTGATTTAGTGACTTAATTATAGTTATAGGACGATTGTGGTAAAGTTAATCATTATTCACTATTTTAAGTTCAATCACCCAAATCAGTAGCTTTTTATTTTGGTTTTACAGCAACCAGATCCATTTTTGGGATAAATTGCAAGTATTATTTCCCCAAAAATGGATCAATTTATAAAAAATGCTGTCCCCAAAATGCCGAAACACATACATATCGGGTCCATTTTGAAAAATACAATAAAAGTGACCCCCTTACTGGTCATTAGCATCTGTATTGCTTGAGTCTTTGTGCAGCTGTTGCATACATCTGTTACTATGGATACCAAGCCAGTAATGCTGTGTGGCCTTCAGACAGAGAAAGACATATTACCGTCACATAGGAAGTCAGTGAGGGGTCGATTCCCTCACACAAAGTGAGGTGGAAAAGACCCTCCGATGCCGTCCTCAGAGAGAGAGAGAGAGAGTGACACTTTGACTCCAGTAAATAACCCTAACCTCTCACTATCTTCTCCTGAAACACACCTGGAGGTTTTGTACTTTCACTCAACCTCTGGTCACTTTTTGGGTTTTATTTGTTACTC